CTGATTATTATTATCAACAATAACAAAAAGTCCAAGTGCCATTTTAAACCTATTAGTAGAGTAAGTATTATCATATTAAACTATATTACTATATTGTACATAAAGTTCATATTATTCTGGTGTCATCCAGAATAATGAAACTAAAGAGTTGGTTGTTGGATTTACATGCCAATTTATAGTCTATCTAATATTCTTAGCTTTATATTTAATAAGCTTATTAATCAATATTGCAGCTTCATAATCAACTCTTTGTTCTATTTTAATCTTTTGAATAGTGTTTGACAAGTCTTGAAGTAAGAAAAAAATATTTTCATATTTCACTTTAAGTAATTGATGTTGTGTATGCATACTAAGATTCCCTTTTGTTGTCCAGAATTCAATATCAGCTAACATTGGCTCAGTTAATGTTTAGTGTGTAATGCCAAATTTATTAGCAAGAGGATCTAAAGAATGGTCTCCATGCTCTAAACTCATGATGGTAATCCTAATAATGCCAGTTGATTTTGGGCATGTAGCATTTATAAACCATGGGCATCTGCTACATTTAGAACATGTGTTTTGCTGTGTTTCAACAATCATATTTTTTTTCCTTGATAATTACTCTAATATTCACATTTATAATGACAATGCCTTCTTATTTTATTATCATATTTAGCTCCATAAATAACTTTAGAAAAGTGGTTTGAGTTACAATAAACATTGATATATCTATCAAGTTCTGTCCATGATTCAAATCACATATCAGATTTTGGAATTTGTAAAAGGGTTTCAGGTGCATTAATAACATTATCAGAGTTTTGAACAAGTAGATTAATCAAATTATTCGGGGGTTGTTTAGGTATATTAGGGGGGTCTGTATTGATAAGGGAGCAGTATTTATAGGTGATAATTCTAATTGTTCATTATAAAAATCTAGTACCAGTGAGTTCAAGCTTAAATTCTCTAATTGTTTATTGTAAATAGGCAAAACTGGTAAATTCAAGGTTAAATTATCATTGGTCATTATTGATGTTTGGATCGAACTATCATAATAATGAGATAAGTAAATTATTATTAATGTCAACATTTTAAATACTAGTTCAATTCAATTACTTGAAATTCAAAACTAGTTTTGAATTTCAAGTAATTGAATAGGCCTACAACTATGCTTTACTTAATATTAACCTTGTGTTATATACATATTCGTTTTGCATCATTAATACTTGATTGAAACAGTTGGAACTAATAATATAAATAGGTAAGTAACCAACATGATATAATTGTATAATGTTTATTGAATAAGATTTCTAATAACATACCTTTTTTATATATATTTATGGCTAAAACAAATAGGATGACTAATGGGACTGCTAATGGGACTGCTAATAGGACTGAAGTAAGTAAACCAATATTATATAACTGCTTAATATTTAATTAAAGGAACCTTTCTAATAACCAACCTTGTTTAATATATTTGACACTTATGTACCAGAACAAAATGCAATGTCTGCAAGCAAAAAAAAAAAAAATACAAGTGTTTACTATACCAGTATAGTCAAGAAAAGAAACACCAGTGTAGTATAACACTACTTCTATCTAACACAAATTTTCTTGTTAAAAAACAATTACTTCAAGGATCTTATTAAAGTAGGCATTCACTTTACATTAGTTCTCTTTTCTAAAAGCTAGTATTTTTGATCTATTTTTTCTTTATATGCATATGCATATATGTTACATGTACTATACTTTCATATTGCTAGTATGACTATCATGTTTCATACAACTTACTTACATTTTGTATAACTAACCATTATTTAGTACTATGGCTACATGTAACCATAGATTACAATTATTTTATTTCTTTTTTTTATATATAAATTTTTTTTTAAAAATAAAAATATTTATTTGAAATCTTTAAAATAGAAATATATATTAAGAATAAAGAATATGTAAATCATTTTTCATATAATCTTTATAATACAACATGATTATTATAATAAATAAAACTTTATATTAATAAAACTTTTTATGTTTTAATTAATTTTTATCAAATTATATCCTACTTCTCTCTTCACTACTATATTATATTCTTGATGTTATCTTAATTCTAATACAATCACCAACAAATGCATTATCTTTATTTCTACAAATTTGGTTACAAAACTACTCTATCATATTAATACTGACAAGACTCTTAATCTACATGCTAACTTCCTTGATATTGTATACTTTGTTGTTATTTGATATCCTTTACATATTTCACCTCCTCCTTTACTAATAATCAACTCACAACAATTACCTTGTATTTTTCAGTCTAATCAACTTATTGATAGCTTATAGTCTATTGCTAATTCTAATCATAATCTAACCACTATTTCATTTTATATTGATGGTTCTGTTATCAAGCTTGGTATCTCTCAATACTCTATGGGCATAGGTTGGATTCAAGTTGATAATTCTATAACTATTTACTCATTTCAGATATAAGTTAAATTCTGGTCATGCTTCTTTAAAGCTAAAATCCTTATTATTCTTTTAGCAATTATAACTGTTTTTAAAAACTGTTCTGTTCATATTTTTATAGATTCACAATTTGTCATTTTCAAATATCATAATATCTACTTATCAGCATTCAAACTTTCTTATATTTATATTTCATATTTTTTTATTTGGCAAACTCTTATCAACTTTATTAATTTATACAACATTCAGTTTATTTTTTATAAAGTTACTGTATATTAAGATAACCCATTTAATAACCTTGCTGACCAACTTGCTCATAGTTATCAAATATTATTCTTTTTAATATTCATAACTAATAACCTTTACAATTCTATCTATACTCTATTTATTGACCAATTTCTTATTTAGATTCCTATTCAATACTCCATTTACACTATTTGTCAAGCTTACATTATAACACTTTGAATATCTCAACATCACTTCCAACAATGATTTATTATTGTTTATAATATTAACTAGAAATCCACTTGGCTTTATATTAATAACAATCAAAAAGTTTTTAACTTTGCTCATAACTTTTATTCCTTTATTCTAAAAAGCTTTCATGTTAAAATTCTCTTGAATAAACTATCTGTTTCTCATACTTTTCATAAATGTAATTTCTCTTATTCTCTTCTCTGTTACCAATATAATCAAACTAACTCTTTATTACACTAGACTCTTTGTTATTCTACTTAAACAATTTATCACTTAATCTCTAATTCTCTTAATTGTATCTTAAATACTACTGCTTGATATATTTACCAATCTTGTTTCTAATTTATATCAAGAAATTCTTATACTTAATAGTTTTAAATTGCATAACTCTTTACATACACTATTCCTTATTTCTATCCTATCTGGTTTAGTTCCTATTGACCTTATTTCTACTATTCATAATACTTTTATTTTTTACTATACAGTTACTTTTCTTTTTATTAAATTCTTCTTCATTTAAACCAACAAATATACAAATAAATATGGATTTCATATTGCATTTCATGTTTTGCATAGTCTCAAAACACACTTACTATAAATTTAACTTATAGTTCTTCTTCTAGTCTACCTCTCATCTCAGTACCTCAAATTATTACCAAAATTGATCTTTGAACTATCTAATGGATTAAATATTATACCACTCTTTCTTATATTATTACTAACACCCAAATTTAAATAAACCTTAACCACTTTTGTAGGTTTAAGTTGCAAATTATATGTCTAAGTCTTTATTCTTTATATGTAATTTAAAAACAAACTTTTTTTTATAAAAACTTCAATTGAATTTCAATAAAGTTAAAGACATGACCTTTACTATTAATATTTAAAAAAAAAAAAATTTTATCAAATTTTTATATAATATAAAATAAGATATATTCTTTATAATAGTAAAATTTTTAATATTTTAAAAAAAATATACTTATATATATTGCCGTAATGGCTCAAATTTTTCATAATTATACAAAATTGTTAAACAATTTATAATACATACCTAATTTTTAATCATATGTATCTCGATCAATATTTAACTAATTTTAATGAATTTACTATTATTAAGATCAGAAAAACCTATTCTACAATTTTTAATTAATATTTAAAAACTGTTTACTTAAGAAATTTTTTTTTGTTTTAAATAAATAAAAATTTATCATAAGTTTTATATATAATTTGAAAATCATATACTCTACCCTTAACTGCGTCATAATATTCCCTTTACCTTATATATCAATATTCTTAAAGCTTGATATGAATTAACTTTATTAATATATTTTATTTTATTTTTTTTTGTCTTACAAAATATTGACAATCAGGTTTTAAAATTTGGTTCTGAACCAAACCAGGGTTAACTTAAGTTTGAACTTATATAAAAACCTGGTTTTTAGGTTTTAATTCGAACTCTAACCAAAACCAATCCAAACAACTTTACTATCTCTAATTAAAACGCTGCCATTACTCTCATGTCTTCAATTTTCTTTTGTATTTCAGCAGGAGTACGGTCTAACTCTTCAGCAATCATTTTCTTTTTATCCATTGGTAATAAATTATATTGTTCACACAAATCACCATCGACCATACTTTTCACAGGAGCATAAAAACTACGATATTGAAGGTGGTCACGCCCAGCTAAAGGTGATGCTTCGTTTCTCATATGCATTTCAAGGGTCTGGAAAAATTCTATATCTTCCCTTGTCAGAAATGGGACAAATACTCCAATACTACCCATTATGCCAGTATAAGTTAGAATTTCACGTCCGCCAGCAACAAGTGTTGTTCGATGAAGGGATGTGATAATGTCCCCTACGTGATAATGTACAATCATAGATACCTATTTAATATTTAATATGAATAATTAGCAACTTATTATGTTATAATCATTAGTATTTATACATAAAAAAAAAAGAAAAGAAAATACCTTATGTGGGGCACCCATCAAATATCCTTTTTCATACATTATTTTATTTCCAGTAGGATCTTCATCTACTTCTTCACTCGTTTCTGCTGGTAGCCGATCAATAAAGAAATCTCCAAATTTATCTCCACCAGCGAGTGTATCGTAGTCTATCATTGTTGTGGTTGTTATCCATCTCGGTGTGGTATCATCAGCAAAAATTATGATACGATTATCGTGTGGCCTGTATGATGCATAATGAACTGATTCTTGCATATCACAGACAATAATACGATTTCCTTGCGTATGTAAATTAACAATGCAATTTGGAATCGCCTGCAAATCATATATGTATTAGCTACATGGCATAACAGTTAAAATTCTATAAGGAAAACAACAAACCTTTGACTCGCACTTCCGTAGCAATTTTCTTTTACCCATATCGTATATTCTCAATGCTTTTCCAACACCAGCAATAAGTCTCCCTTGGAATCCTAGAAGTGCTAAAGGAATATCATCACATTGTGTCTACATACGCAAATGCAAATAAAAAGCTGGTTAGTTAAATTCAACCACACACAGTCAACTCTTTATAAACTGAACTTAGATAACCCAGAAACTTAATAAATTCTGTCTAAACCAAATTTTAAGTTTTATAATGAGATTAGGTTTAGCCACTAAATACACTTTTAAACTGAATCTGTCATCATTTTCTTAATAAGCTCTGAGGGTTCAGTACGAGGTGTAGACATATAAACATACAATATATGAAATTAGATAGGATTTACCTTATGTACAAGTTTTAAAGTGTTTCCTTCGTCTACAAATTGATATACATGCAAATATCCTGCTGAACATGTGCGTGGTGCCAAATTTGCGTCCTTTGCAGTACCAACAACAAGGAATAATTCATTATTTTGTCCATGAAAGTTAACTGTAGCAATACTTTTATATAAAAAATCTATTAGCATACTCAAATATAAAAGTGAAACACACACATAAATATATACCTAAATGCTGCCTCATTATCTTCAAGTTCGACTAATGACATTGTTTCGCCTTGGAATGGGTTCAGAACACGAATGCATGACGCCCATTTTCCATGCTCCGCCTTGGGTAAACCAAACGTATCCGGAGGTAATTCCAATAATTTAGGATCATATTCAACTCCACTTTTCGCTTTTGCCTCCAATGCCTTTTCCTTCTCCGCTGGAGAAAATGTATTATGTTCACTCTCAATTATAACAAAATTTCTCGAAATTGGATGAAGGATAAAGTGACGCGGAGTGTATTTAAGTTGTATTGTTGCTTGATTAAATACTGTCCCTAACTTTTCCACAGCAAATATTCTTAAAGTATTGGCAGAAATTGCCACAATACCTTCCGGAACTTGTGGTGACGTGAAATTGGATCCATACTCCAGCATATCATATGAAAGTGGTGTAAGATGTAATCGAGATTGAAACGTATAACTCAGCCAAGGTCGACTTGACAGCGCTAAAACTGCAGGAGATCCCTGTATTTTGACTTGAAAAAGTTTAACTGGTCGAGCACCGAGGAATCTAGATAATCAAATAGTTATAAGCTTTCATCTAATTTTACACTCGCAATCTAAACATAATTAAAACAAATACCTTTGTCTAGTATCTGTCAATGCACCAGTTATAGTATCCAATACTGTTCGCAATAATACTCCATTTTGTAATCCTATATTAAGGTAGAGCGTTCCATGTGAAGCATCAGTACCGATATCCATCATTTCAATAATGGATAAAGATTGTGGAGGTGCGCTTAGACCCTATATCAAAAAAGTTGATTAGTTATGTAGAGATTTAATAACAGCGAAAAAAACTGATAGTTTATTCACCTGTGTACTTAGAACCTCTAAAGTATTGTCAGGATCAAGTGAAAGGATTCTAACGGCATTATCATCACAGCCTACAGCCTTTATTATGGTAAATGATAATCAGTTATTTTCTGAACGTTTATAACCCGACAATCATAACACTTAACATCAAATATCAAATTTACCAAAAATCGTGACCGTTGTCTCCCTTCTGGAACTTCTCCAATACTCAAACAGTGTACATTTGCTGTCATTTCTTTGCGTTCTTGATATTCATTCAACTGTCCTTGGTTATCTAACTCAAAATAAACGAGCTCACCGCCTGTTAATGCTATAACAACCTGACGTTTGTTTGTTGTAGCTTTTACTATGGCTCTGTTTCCAGGTGTCTTCCATTCATTTACGCGGCGATCTGCACGGATATGTCTCAATCCTTGAGGATATATCTTTTTTTTAGATGAATAAAATACCGAATTATTTTAAATATAAAAGAGAAAATATTACAAAAATATTATTTTAATATTTTACTTGAAGTAAAGCATCATCGCCAAGTTGATGAACATCCAATGTGGGTGTTGTAGCAAGAAATCCAGTATCAGTTACTTCTTCAACAGTTTCACCGATGGATAGCACCAACGTTGCATTTACAAATGATACAATAATATAAGCATCAAATTCATCTACGAAATGCTAATTAAATTAATAACTTTCAATATATTTTTTATTATTAAGTTGACATTGAACGAAGATCTGCACTTAACGTACCATCGGATTTAAGTTTAGTGGTCCAAACGGCATTAGGATTGCCAGGTAATTCAGAAACCGCCATCTCAGATACTTCTAATCCGTGCCTTAATATCCGAAAAGTTGAACAGGCACCTCTTCCACATAAAGCGTACAATTGCGGTGTATCATCATCTGTAAGGTTCAGAACCTACAGTGATACAAATTTGAAACATCGATTGAAATTGAACATTAAGTCTATATTAAATATATGAACAAAATTAAAGAATGGTACTTTGGCATCAATTAATGGATTTAGGCTTTCCAATTCATCAGCCCGTTCTAAATTTTGTAGCTCTCTAGGAGTGAAGTATGCCAACGCAGGATGATTTAGATCGGTATCCATAAAATTTTCGCTGGACCACTCTGGTTCATCATTATCATCACCAAGGCTTGTAAACGAATATAGTCGGCTATAAGAAAGGAAGGAACAATTAGATATTGTGAAAATCTTGAATAGTAACGTAATAACAACATAAATCAAGCGACATACTGATTTCCGAATTCCGCAGCTACAAACAGAAAACCAGCTCTAAGTATGCATAATGATGCAGCGATGGGCACGGTGTCAAAATACTTAATTTTAATTGCCTTCACCTTATCATCCTCGTAGTCAAGTGTGATTTTATATATATCACCTTCCTCACTTTGTAGTAAAAAAAAGAAAACTCCTTTCATCTTGTGCATAACACCAGCAACAATTATGAGCCCACGCGATGAGTCCTCTAACGGATTCTTGCGTCGTGGAATTGGCACACGAAGTTCAGGTGAAAGTTGGTGCTTGTATGTTATAAAATTTTCCGAGCAAACCAGTACGCCAGAAGGACCATCATTACCACCAGGAACTATTATATGAAATTAAGCAATAAAATTAACAAGTAGAAAATAATATTGGAAATAATAGAATTTGTAAATATTTACCAGCAAATAGCATATTGGCTCGTGCATCAACTGGATCACTCCATTTTCTTACAACATGATTTAGACCAAGATCCAATTCGTAATACGTTAGCATCTAATAAATAAATAACATTATGAGCATAATACAACGGACAAATAATAATAGCAATAATAATTGTAGAACTTACCTTTTCGGTATTATTAAAAGCCTCACCAGTGTGATCAAGGTCAGCCTCAGAATAATCTACTTCTAAGCAAGCGAAGACAGGATTATCAAAACCAACATCCAAGCCTATACAATGATGTACCAATGTATGTGATTTATGAGCTTCCAATGGCGAAGATATGGTTAAATTAGCTGCAGAATCGCGATTAAGAATGTAAACAAGTTTTTGCTTTTCGATGGCACCTGTGAAAAAAAAAAATAAAATAAAAAATAAAATTAGATTGTGATCAATTAAACAAATTAGATCGTGATCAATTAAACAAATTAGATCGTGTCAATTAAAAAATTAGATCGTGATCAATTAAACAAATTAAACCAATAACACATACCGATCATAACTGATCTCCCTTTCGGATCTACAGCCAAGTATTGTCCAGGCACAATTCGTCGACATCCGGATTTTCCGAATGTCTCTTGATGAATTTTATCAAATCTATTCTTTGTTGGATTGTATTCTAAAATGACTATACGTCCTGAATCAGATCCGACTATAATATAATCTATGAAAATATATCCGATATATACGTGCAAATGAACGATCTGATCAGTTAATATTACTGCCCGATATAAAACTCGAGTATACCCTTAAGGTAGATTGAAAGCACCAAAGTAAGGCTCCACGTTGTGATGGCAGAACTTCGCACCTTTTGAGCCTCCGGTCAAACGAAAAGGTGTCAAAGATCTAATTATTCCAAAAACGTCATGAGTTAAAAGAGTTTGTAATTTGCCCGAATTTGGATCAGCCCTAAGAAATTCTAAGCGCGTTACTCTAGAAACAACAATCTCCTGTTGCTTCGTTCCTGAAAAGTGACCAACCACCGCAACATTAATTGTGGTTGGAGGCTGTAAAGTTAAGTTGTAAAGAAACATGAGGCGAAAACACGAAAGGTTTGAATCAAGCGGATTTTTAACGATCAGCGTATTTCCTGTAGTAGGTCAAAAATTTTTATCTTTTCGTGTAACCTGAGTTCCGGACTTCGATCGGATTTTGTTCTGTCCACACACGTGATCATTGTCTGTCCGCCCACGTAACTAATCATAAAAATGATTGGACAATTTTTTTAATTCGCTCCGGATTTACAACAGTCCTGTTTTGGACTGATTATAGCAAAATTAAGTTTATGATGTAACGGTAGTAAAATTAGGGATGGGCAATATTCTTACTTAACATTACTTAAGATCTTTTTGCAATAGGGTACATAATAATAAGTAATTTTTACGATCATTCTATGTTTAGTAATCTTACTTAATATTAAGTAAAGTGATAAGTCATTATTACTTACAAAAGTATTTTGCCCATCCATAAGTAAGTGATTTCGGAAATTATAGCAGATATATAAATAACACCGATATAGATCGGGCTTATACTATACTGCCTAATACTGTAATGATTTTTATTAGAATCCCAAAGGAGGTTTATATTATTAAAAGTTTACGTTACACCAGATCCTGATTTTTAATTGGCCAATTGATCGTTGCTATAAATTAATTAACCCTCTTCTCCCAAACGTGGGACTACGGGCTATCATTTGACCCGCTGTCCCTCAGCAAATTTTGTGATAGTGTCTATGTAGACTGCAGGCAGTTCGTCACTTTTGCTAATGATTTGACCTGCTGTCCGTTAGTACGTCTCCAGCAAATTTGCGCGTCTTTTGAGAGCCAATCTTTTATTTCTTCAAAGAACGAAAATTAAGTTGAACGAGTCGATATTGCAAGTAATAGGAAAAAAATTTTTTTATGAAGGTTAACTTTTTTTAAAATTTTTGCCATTTATAAAATTTCGATTTATCTTTCATTAAAATCTCGAAATTTTTGGAATGCATTTAGTCTGAAATTTACGATTTTTCTTAATTCTTTTTTTTAATTACTATTATATATATATATCCTTTATTTATAAAAAAATTTTTGATTAATAATTATTACTATATTACTTATACTGTGTTTGTAATTGATACCCAATAAAATATTATTTAATAATTAACAAATAATACACTTTTATTATATATATATAAAATATATAACTGGTGTTGAAGGTTACTTTTGCAAAGTATGCACCATGCACTCAGTTAAACACTTGTAAATTTTATATTCTACAAATATATATATATATATATATATATATGTATTTATAATAAGGAAAAACCAATTCCTCAAACATTATTTCTAACTTTAATTAAAAAAAAATTAATTTGATTATGATACACATCATTAAGTCAACAGTAACATCTAAGTTTAAATATCAAACGTCTATTTCGTTTTTATTCTTTATTAAAATTGGAAAAAATTAAAAAGTGATTCACTAGTATACATATTCAATTTTCCTAAGTTCCTCCCTAATATTTATACATAGATATACTTAAAATTGTTATTCAACCTTGAGTTTTGTTGGTGGGGCTAGAAATGATGATAAATTTAATTAGAAGTGATTTAAAATAATAAATTTAATTAGAAGTGATTTAGAATAATAAATTTAATTAGAAGTGATTTAAAATAATAAATTTAATTAGTAGTAAATGAAAAATAATAAATATAATTAGTAATGATTTAAAACTGAGTAAAATTAATGTATGAAATACAGCTATAAAGTGACATACCAATAAATTTCCGACTGATGAATTTTAGCACCTCATCGATTATGATAACAGGGAACGACATTAGTATCACGGCACTCCATTCCGTCAAGTTTAAGGGTACAATTTCAAAAAGTTTCTATGAAAAATAACAATGAATTAATTATGAATTAATTATGAATTATGAATTATGAATTATGAATTATTTTTAGAATTATTAAAATAAAATGAATAAATAAAAATGAAATTTACCGAAAAGAATGGAACATATAATATCATGAAATGTAAGGCCATCGAAAGGATGATTGAAAGAACAAGGTAAATATTACTCCATACAGGTAATGTGAATAAACTGTCGTTTTCACTCAAAGAATTTGTAGCATTAAACATTTCAATAGTGACAAGAACCGAAAGTGACATAGTGGTAGCACGACTGGCCATAATGTTGGTAAACATTTCGCAGCCAATTTCTGGGAATAGATCACTACACCTGTGAAAGTTTGTCTTTAATGAAAAGAATGTAAATTAAAATTATTAAAACCCAAAATAATCAAAATAATCAAAATGATTTCGATAAATAAAATAAATTCGACAGTGAGTAATTACCAATTGTTCAAAAGAAATTTGAGGACCTTCTGAATAGAACATAAACCACCAAGCATATGCAAACACAGTAGCGGCACCAACATAAGTGCCAACAACCATATAACGGAAGAATAACCATTTTCCAACAAAAGGTTCTCGAGGATTTCGTGGAGGACGGCGCATAATTTCATGATCCGCAGGATTGAAACCAAGGGCAGTTGCAGGAAGACCATCAGTTACAAGATTTACCCACAAGAGTTGGACGGGAATAAGAGCTTCTGGCATACCAAGAAGAACTGTAAGGAAAATACTAATAAAAATTTATAAATTAATAAAATTTTATAAATTAATAATAAAATTTTATAAATTAATAAAAATTCAAATTAATGGAAAAAAAATATATATATTTTTGAAAAAAATTTACCTTACAACTTCACCAATATTTGAACTAATTAAATACCGAATGAATTGTTTTGTATTATTATATATTGATCGCCCTTCTTCAACAGCACCTTCGATACTAGCAAAGTTATCATCCGCAAGAACCATATCAGCAGCCAGTTTAGCAACATCAGTACCAGAGCCCATTGCAATACCGATATCAGCTTTCTTTAAAGCTGGTGCATCATTAACACCATCTCCTGTCTATAATTTAAAAAAAATTAATATGTATATATATGTTTATGTTATAAGTGGAAACGGAATTTAAGTGGATTCGGAATTTTTATATAAAACCAGTATTTTGGATTGATATTATCATACAAATCCCGCGATCACTATATCAAGATCACGGGAGGATTAATTAATAATACCCTGACGTATATGAATAAGCGGAAACGAAGTTTCCGCTAATTCCCAACAAACACCCATACCCTAACCCTAATTTATAAATTATTATTATTCATTATTAATAGAATTAACATTATTATCACATACCATAGCCACTATCTCACCATTTTTTTGCAGTATATCAACAAGTTGACTCTTATGTGATGGTTCAGTTCTTGAAAATAAACTAGCACGCTTTAAAATTTCAGCTTTTTCATCATTTGAAAAATCATCAAATTGTCTACCAGTATAAGATTTTCCAGTCAAATCTTCATGTTCACCAAAAATACCAATTGATCTACAAATAGCTTCAGCTGTGTTTTGATTATCACCAGTTATAACAATAACTCTTATTCCAGCAGTTTTACATTTTTTAATGGCTTCCACAACTTCAGGACGTGGTGGATCAAGCATGCCTACTAAGCCAATAAACGTCATATCTTTTTCAAATTGAACAAAATTTGAAGGGTCACGAAGATCCCAATTGGTAGGACAATTTTCGATTTTGGCCATAGCAAGAACTCGTAAACCTTTATGACCATATTCTAAAAGTTTTTCAAATAATTTTTCTCGAATAATAGGAGTAAGGGTAATAGGAGTGGATGAAGAATATAATTGAATACATGTACATCTATTTAATATTGATTCAGGAGCACCTTTAACAAATAATGTTGATTTGTCATTATTTTGGACAATAACTGACATTGATTTACGATCACGAGAAAATTCTAGAGTTGCCAACTGTAAATTATATATAAAATAATTGTAAATAATTGTAAAGGTTAAATATAAATAAATAAATAAATATAAATATAAATATAAATATAAATATAAATATAAATATATAAATATATATATATATATTTTAGAACAAAAATTTTTTTTAAATATCAATGAATACTTGTTGAATACTTACACGATGAAACCTATTTTCATAGTAATCATTACAAGCAGTAGCACGTGCTTTTGAAGAACATGAAGCCAAAGTATTATTAAATGAATTACTATCTGTTCCAAGTTTTTCGACAAGGACTTTCAAAGCAGCTTCGGTTGGTTCACCGACATTATGATATGATTCAGTAGTCTGTAAAGAAAAGCATAAATTAGTTAAATGAATATAAAAAGGACGTTCTCTAAAAAAAAACTTACATCATCATAAGCAATTCGGGAGTCATTACAAAGAGCACATATTTTTGCTAGATCATTAATACAAGGACTATTTTCAGGAAGAAAATTGACAGTTTCGCCATTAGCCGTAAGGATTTTTCCATGTGGAGAGTAATTAGAACCATCAATATGATATTCTTGGAAATCAGCATTCTCAGTTGTTATGGCAAGTAACTAAGTAACAAAGTAACAAATTAATTATTAGTTAAATAAGTAAAAATAATCAAAAAAGAAGGTAAAAAAAAAGGAATAAATAGGAAATAAAATAAATACTCTAGAAACACTCATACGATTTGTTGTGAGAGTACCAGTTTTATCAGAACATATAACACTCGTACAGCCCAGAGTTTCAACAGATGGAAGAGATCGAACAATTGCGTTCTTCTTTGCCATTTTTTTTGTACCAAGAGCTAAACATGTTGTGATAACTACGGCCAAACCTTCAGGAATAGCAGCAACAGCTAGTGCAACCGCTATTTTAAAATAATATATAGCACCTTTAAGCCAACCATGGTGAGAAGGATCATTGAAGTGACGAATATTTATCAGCCACACAAGTATACAAATTACAGTAATAACCTTTTTAAATTATATAAATATTATAAGTCATAATAATGTTCATAGAAATATTAAATAAAATTAAATCAAATAAAAATAAATGTCAAGTATTAAAAAAACCAACCTTTGCCAATTGATCACCAAATTCATCTAATTTAAGTTTTAGAGGAGTTTTGGCAGATATTTGACTAGCAATATTTTCATGAATATCACCAATGGCTGTATTTGCACCAGTTTTAACAATAACGGCGCGTGCCTTTCCAAGTACTACAGTGGTTCCCTATATGATAGGATACATAATAGATTAATAAATAAAACATTTAGTATAACAAATTAAAAATATATATTTATGAATAAAGAACACTACCGTAAATAGAATATTTGTTTGATCCTGCTTCACAGCCTGTCGGTCTTCAATTGGCCTAGTGTCTTTATTCACACTAACACTTTCACCAGTAAAGATAGCCTGATCGACTCTTAAAGCAGATGAATAAATCTTTAATACTCGACAATCAGCCGGAATTTTGTCACCTACAGCGACATCAATAATGTCACCTGGTACAAGTTCCGAAGCATGAAGTTTGCTTAGATGTCCATCACGTAAAACTTTTGCTTCATCAGGTGAATATTCTTTCAAAGCCTAAATAAGGAATCAGTGAGTTAATAAAAACAAAAGAATGAAAAAAAAACAATCTTGACAGAAATTTAATACCTCAATAGCTTTCTCAGCATTAGTTTCTTGTATGACCCCTACAGTAGCATTGGCAATTAATATTAGGAGAATCACAATTGGTTCTACGAATGCAGTACTCTGGTCTTCAGAATCTTCGATTAAAGCCAGTACAAAAGATATCGCAGCAGAAATTAAGAGAATTATAACGAGTTGGTCTTTGAATTGTTCTAGAATGAGTTCCAATAAGGGAGTTGGTTCTTCCTGAGGAAGCTCTGTATAATTTTAAAAGGAAATTTTAAAACTTAATATTTCTAATGATAAAAAACGAAGATTTTATAATGTAGGTAATCTTGAACTCAAATAATAATAGATCTGCGTTTATCAAAAACATAAGTAGTAAAGCTCGAAGAATTAGTACATACCGTTCTTTCCAAAGATTTTCTCATTCTCTTTAATCTGCTTTTCAGTTAAACCTTTGGTTATATCGACGTTAAAAAACTCTAAAACTTCTTCACAAGTTTTTACGTAAGGTTCGTCCATTATTTATTTTAAAGTAGATCAAAGGATAAAATTCCAAACAACGCACGAAAAGACAAAAAACAAACAAAAGTATTAAGAAGACAAAGACAATATTAAGTATAAAGATAAATGATTAGGGATTTCCTCAAGAAAATGAAGGTAAAGATAACTTGAACATTTTTTCTTTTTTAAAGGTTTTACAAACATCGATAACGTGTCTACTGTCAATTGGTTTATAGATAAGCATTATATAATCGTAATGAACTTTAATTAGAAAGTATGGCTTAAAATGTCCGGGGCGCCATATAAAATCAAATAACAATTACGTATGTACGTAATACGTATGTACATACTTTTAGTAACTAAATAAGTATATGACTGCGTATAAAATAATTGCCCGTGATAAGATTCACACGGGTAGTTGCCACAGTATAGGAACATATTTTTTTTATTTGAAGGTTACATTTAATGTATACCCCACTCAATTAATGATCCGATGCCAAGAAAATTTTGACATGCATACTTCTGACTCTAATTTGAGATATGTCTTTATGACATGAATCTTGCAAAATTCCGGGTTGGTATCCTGGTTTGCTTAATAATCATCTAGGATCATATGATTGAAACATAACCGCAACATATACCAAATAGCTTCGTTGCGTATGTGCGCTTTATTATGAATATTAAATACAACTTTTTTTGCCGGGGGGAGCGAATTAAGTCTTTGTGTGTGTACGTACGTACGTACGCTTATGTTTAGGCTATCGTTATAGCTCATAGTTCAAAAGGTTATGCATGCCTAATGTAAGGGAGAATATGCGTCAATCAAGTCAATCAACGTAAGTACGAACATGTTAGATATTATTAGCAAACTATTCACAGTCAAGATGTATGCATACTCATACACATACCTGATACGTTTACGATGAAAAATCAGTGGTAGTTGTAACCTCCGTGATGCTGTAATGATCAGTTTAAACTACCCGTTACACCGAAAAATTAAAGTAAATAGACTATCATTTAACACGATTTTTAATTATTTTAAGACCATGCAGTGTAACTTCAAATTAATAATATTAATAATTTAGTCATTTTAGCCAGAATTATAATACTTTTACCAGAATTATAATGGACTACGCCATGTCTATTTCTGCATTTCGAAATTTAGGTTGCTTTATTGCCTAATTTTTCTAAATATAGTATCACGACTTCCTGATTAAATCGATTAAGTCTAAAAAGTCGACTGACTTTAATCGACTAAATCGCTAATACAACTAAACTCACCAATTATTATGTATTTTGTAATCGACATAGTCATCGACCATTTAAAAACAATAAAAGATGTAACGGTCCTCAGCATTTTTCTATTATTTTCTAACTACAGTATATAGTCGCGACGCACCCTGACGCACTAAAAAAGGTAGGACAGCTGTTAAAAATCAAAAAAGACTTCTGCTTCGATTACCACTAACAACATTAACGTTAATACAGTATTTATGTAACTGCTGATCAAACATATCAATATCGATCGAATAGTTAAATAAGAGTTCCTGTGACGAATTCTCCTGAAGCTTTAAATGCAAAGAAAAATTAGTAAAAAAGACTGAATAAGAAAGAAACAAAGTACTCTGTGCCTTGATTCATAACTAACCAATCAATGACTCAACAATAGCTGGCATCTTAGAATTCATGATCTAAATAAATACCTTATAGTTAAAAAGATTATCGATTAAAATTTTTAAAAAATTAATCAATCTCATTTAAAATGAAAATGTTTAAATTGATACAAACGTATGCACAAGGGTGTTTGGTGATGGCATACAACACCCTTGTATGGCGTTCCGCAAAAAAGAATTCGAATGGATCCTTTTAGGGGTTAAATGTTGTATTACTAAAAATTATGGGTCAGAATCAGGGCATAAAATTCTATTATGAAATGCCGGAAAGTTAAGTTTTAAAGTGGCCGAAATTTTATAATATAAATATATTGCAAAAGTTTCTAAATTTCATGTAACTTTTAACCACAAAATGATTTGTCAGTATCGTGCTGGAAATAACAATCTATCTTCTATCTATCTATTACTGTATTAAAAAAATGAGACTGTTTCACAAATTTCGAACATTGCATATTTGTGTAACATTCGTGCAGATAGCCGAGGATATAGCTCCGATATAACTGATAACAACCCTTGCATTACCCTTGCATATTCGCGTAAACCAAAATCCGGGGTCGGAATAAGTCGTATCGATCAATTTAGTATAATTAACTGGTATCATTGCTTAATATCGGCCTATCCGATGCAGCATATATTGCAGTATTGGATTACAATCACTATTTAATAAAACCACAAGATCTTAAATACGATTATGCTACGTAGCAAGTTACTAAAATATAGTTGGAAGAGAGCCAATATGTAATTGATGAAACGCAATTGGAAAATGTATGGCGCATACAAAATTCTTAAAATTCGTTAAGGTTAGGGCTAGAGTCAGGGTTAAGAGTGAACGAGGTGTTATAATAGTAAAATTGTCCAACAAAAATTTTTTGCTAAAGCAAAAAAGGTGGTTTCTTATGTTAATGAGCGATTTTTGGCAGAACGAACGTTTTTTGAATCTTCTTGATCCTGATTCATAGACCATTGGAACTATGTAACCAACTTGGTACACATTTTCTGATTGCAGATGAAACTATAAGAGACATCATGGCACTTTTAGGTCACTGGATGATTTTATGTAACATATTTATATACATTATTTATTTATTACCATATAGCCTGCAGTTTTGACCAGTGTTAAATGATCTGCAATAATTGGCCTAAATTATCCTGTAAGTTTCACCCTACTGTAATTCTAACTCAGGCCAGACATCATCTGACATCTGAGGCACAACATATATATAACAATAGCCTGTCAGTGTAAGTGATGGGGTACATACTAGTTTTAAAAAAAAATTTCTTAAGCTTAACTAATTCAAGGAACATTATGTTAGATCGGATAAATATTTTTTTGTAGATCATCGTAAAAAATGTTGAAGTAATATTTCATGATGATAAACCAATGAAAATCATAGATTTAATATTTTAAAGTTCATAATTAATTTATTATCTATTCTGATAAGGCGTTTTGCTCAAAGTTCTGTGTGCACTAAATAGGTACTTTTAGCTTAAATCAGTAATGTTTTTAATTCAGCAAATTTTATATGGTTAAACGAATATTCCCATGGCACTGGTTAAAATCTCAGGGCTAAAAAGGGATGTTTTAATCAGTATCGGTATGATAAGGCATGTATAATAAACTATATGCAACCAAAATACTAGAAATAACAGTTTTTGGCCAGCCCGCCTGTCAAACTAATAAACAAGTACAATTGCATATTCTTCAGCATTCTTGATATCTGACACGCTTAAATCAGGTTTATACTTGCATATAATTTCAAATTAATATTTTGATGTAACACTAATCGTAATGTAATATATCAGGCAATTTATGAATGAATATTCTGCCTTGTAAAAATATTTTTTATTAAAATGTGTAAATATAAATGATCTAAATAAAAAATATTTTGGTTTAATTATTATTATAAACATGGAATAAGAGTTAAGAAAAATAAAATGACTTATTTATTATCAAAAGTCTGCAATATGAAACATATCCTATTGTTATAAACACAGAATTAAAAAATAAATTATCTATTTATCAGAATTAAAAAATAAATAATCTATTTATTATTAAAATAAATTATCTATTTATTATTAAAAACAAAAGAATATAAACTGAAGTTAAAAATTTATTTATTTATTAGCAAAAAAATTCTACTAAAAAAAAGATGTTTATTGATTACTAAAAACTTATTATTATAAATAATTTAATCAGATATTTTAGTTTATTTTTTTTATTAATATAAAATTAAAAAAAAATTTATAAATAGTAACTCATTATTATAGTAACTTTATATATAGCAACCAATTATATTTAGGGTTAGTAAAATTTATTTTTTATTTTTTATTATAAAATTTAGAAAATTTGTAACTAATTTTAGTTGATTAATAGTAGAGTTGAGTTCTTAAATTTATTTTTTTTTTTCTAAAAGATTTTAGGTTTAAGTTATAAGTTATAAAATTCTAAACTAGTTCTAAAATCCCAAACTAATTATAAAATTTCAAACTAATATTAAAATTTTAAACTAATGTCTAATTCCAAATTCTAAACTAATATCTAAACCTTAAATTAATATTTAAATTTTAAAATAATATCAAGACCTCTAGGATCGATAGCATAGCGGTTATGCTCCGAGGTCACAAATCGCAAGGTTGCCAGTTCAAATCTTAGTGACGGCAATTGTAGAGATGCATTTCTAAAATAGGGAACTGCAACACCATGGCACCAGGGACCCGGGACGTCATCAGACGGACTTATTTCTAGAAAAGGCAAGTGACCTGCGATTGAGAAGCCACTCAGTGATGAACACAAGTTAGAACCTGATTTGGAATAATCGAAATCATAAGACATAATGTGAGACCGTAAGTCTGACAATGAGAGATACTACATGAACTCATGGCGACAGTCAGTTCTGAATAGAATCTGACGAAACCTTCTGATACCGGCAGGGATCGGTGTGACGGTCATCCTTTAAAAGTTTAAAAGTACAGACCGGGGGAGGTCGAGGTTTAGTTCCGAGAGTATTTTAAGGCCATTAGTTTGAAAAAATGCGAAAGAATGTGAAAGATCTTGGCAAGACCAGTCAAAGAATAAAAAAAAAAAAATAAAAAATAAAAAAAAATAATATCAAAATCTTAAATTCTAAACCAATATCTAAATCTTAAAACAAATTATATAAAATTTTTAAATAATAACTGCTATATGCTTATATTTAAAACTTTTTTCTTACTAAGTAAAATGTTTTTAGTATTCTAAATAAAGTTGTAAAATTTATTAAAATGTATTTAATATTGAATATATTAATAAAATTAGCTTAATAGTTTCTAAAATATTATTAAAAAGCATTGTACTAATAATTAATT